GGAGGCCGGCCCTCCCGCCGGCCTGACTGACCGGACGCGCGTGCGTCCGGTGCGATTTCCGCTTAATACCCCGAACGAGATCAGACGGCTTTGACGGAATTGCCAGGATGTGCCGGTCACCGTAAAATAGACAAGAGATGAAGAGGGAGAGAGAGAGAGAGAGAGAGAGGGGGGGAGAGCGAGATCTCGAATGGAAGCGTCATCTTATTATCCGATAAAGCCTCCGGCTGTTAATTTCCTCCAGGTGGAGGTTGAGTCCCGGCGGCGATTTGAATTCCGGAGATCGTCCGTGAATTAAGAAAGACTCCGTTTCGCCTTTCAACGGCCGATGGCGAAGAGGTCAAGTCGCTCTCTCGTCGGCGCCGATAGACATATACTCACGTAGTGCGCGACGCGCAAAAAATGGACCGCCTCCTGCGTCCAACACCAAGAAACAACCATTCTCCTGCAGAAACTATTGATTGAATGATTTATTGTGCTTACGCCGTGAACGTCAACCGACGGTAACGTTACATGTCAATGTTACAATTTCCCACGCCGCAATGCACGCGCAACGTGTAACGCGTGCTGTGTACGTAACAGTTACATCAGACAGAGTGGGAAATTATAATATTGACATAACGCTGCTGCTGCTGCTGCTGCTGCTGCTGCTTGTTGTTTACCCAGTATGCGTGTCACACAGCTACGCGAGTTTACGTGGACAGGCTTTAGCGCGCGATCTTCCTTCGCTGTCTCGCGCGCTGTCTCGCCCCCGGGGTGCATAATTCAAAAATTCCCATGCCGCTGGAGATGCGAGTACACAAGCAAGGATCACGCGAGTCGAAATTCGCGTCGGTGCCGCCGCGGCGGGGCGCGCCATTCAGCGGCGGGATTATAAATTCCCGCATTACTTATAGCGGCAGGACCATAAAATTCATAACGACGTACAGCGCCGTAATAACGACGAACGAGCGACGGCCGTCGTCGTAGCGCGCCCGACCTGTTACAGCATTTGTAGGAATTTACGACGAAGCGCCACCGCCGCCGCCGCCGACGCCGCCGCCGCCGCCGCCGCCGGTGCTACCGTAGCTCGCAGCAAGCGAGAGCCAACCCAGTTAGCTACCTAGCTCGGCCGCCGACCCTGCACCCACTACCGTAGCCGTAGCACTGCGAACTACCCTCCACCCCTGGCAGCTTCGCGATAGCTTAAAACTTTCAGGGTAGTTTCGGAAATGCCGCGCGCGCAAACAGACTCCACTTCCCGGCAGCGGAACTTCTTGCGCTGTGCGCGCTATATAGCGAATTTATCGGCATTAAATAGTCGCGCATTTTTGTAACGCCGTAGCAGCTCTTGGCAGTCACCCCCTAGAGCTAGTCGCGAAGCACAATGCGCTGGAACTTCGTCCGAGATCGACGAAGCGTGTCGACCGTGCCGCGTAAGCGGGGCCGCGGCGGAAACTCGGGATATCTCGGAAATATCGACTCGCTGCTCGTCGCGAGCGGCAGTCCGCGAATCCGCGATTCTCTCGGCGAAACTCTGAGTGCCGTCTTAAAGTCGGATTAAGGACGTGGAGAGTCGGTCGATTGTACACGGGAGGATCTGAGAGAGAGAGAGAGAGAGAGAGAGAGAGAGAGAGAGAGAGAGAGAGAGAGAGGGAAGAGCGGGAGAGAGAGAGGGAGGAGGGGGGAGACAAGGAAAGGGAGAGAGGCCTGTGGAATCGGGGAAAATAGCAAAGTATAATAACGCACCATCATCCGTTGAATTATTACGCGGGGAAATCCGCGTATCGTGCGTGACGCGCTGTTAAACGACGTCGTAATACGCCTGTTTCTTCATACCGTGTCTTGTAATCGCACACTGTGCCGCACGATAGGTCACATCGTGTCTTTCTCTTTTTCTCGCTCCACCCTCCTCCTTCTCACCGTCACACCCTCTCTGTTTCTCCTCCATTAGTATACTGATTTCATATTCCGAAGTGTACAAAGTGTACATACGGCTGGCAATGTATCTGACAGTCAAATGGCCGGCGCGCGACCGACGACGCTACAACGGAATCTCATTTTTCGACGCGACGCGGAAGATTCAAATGGCGAAAGTGTACACCCCGGTGAGTCCCGTTTTTAAGCACGATCGAAAGGAGCGGCTTATTATTATTCCGCTCTTGAATGGATATTCATGCGCCCGGGGTACACAGAAACCGAAATGTTTAGCCATGCAAAATATGTTTCATCTACGCGCGCTTCTGAATGTGAGAGCGCTTCCTCTCTCTCTCTCTCTCTCTCTCTCTCTCTCTCTCTCTCTCTCTCTCTCTCTCTCTCTCTCTCTCTCTCTCTCTCTCTCTCTCCTCTCTCTTTTCTGGCTTTACTCGCTTGCATCCTTTTGCCGCGGATTATTCCAACACTCTCTCTCTCTCTCTGTGTGTGTTTTTTGTTTAAGTGCAAAATTGACTGGGGACGTTACGTGGCCGTCCCTTTGACTTTCTCTGATGCGCGCGCGCTCCGTGAGGTCGCGGAGTATGTGCGCGCGACTGGAAACGTTACGTGGTAGTACGTTTCCGATGGCGAGGAGAGATGTTGCGCTATAATTGGTCGCCCTGGCCTGTGACAGGCATAACCACGTCCCGATATGGACGTCCGACCACTAATCTGTTATACCTTGCTGTATCACACGCAGCGCCGTTAACACGACATCGTAATGCATTACGATATCGATGGTAGGGCATTTGTCTCGGCGGACGCAGCTTAGCCTCTATAACTGAAAAGCGAAGAGACACGGACACCTGATGATGAGGACCTTCCCTCCGCTGAGAAAGCGGCCGTGACGCGAAGAATCGTTCTCGTCGTCGACGTTCTTTCCCCGTATAGATTTCGTCGTCGCAATTTCTCGCGAGTAAACGCGAACGCCGCTCGCGACCCCGACGACTTTGCTCTTTATACGTGACGCGTGCACACGCAGATTCTCCGAGTTAATTCGGAGGATAATAACGCGTCGCTACCCCTCTGCGCGCTCAACTCTCCAAGTTTCGAACGACCTGCTGTACGCGCCCGCGCAATTCGCAGCCATACGAGAATAACCGCTTCAACTACGATCCGGCTGCATGATTGTCCGTCGGCAAGCTCGATCTTTCCGTGTGATCCTGCACGTACGAGAGAGCGAGGTTAGTTTGCCGTTACCCGCCGAACGTTGCGTACGAACACCAACTTCACCGTTTCGGTCAAGTTCCGCGTCTGCTTTCTCTTCCACCCGCCTGCTACCGTGGTAGCGTATAAACGCCTACGAAGCTATGTGTTACTAGTCGGCATGTGCACTTTAGACGTAACTAGCGAGAACGAGAATGCGAGAGAGGGAAAGAGAAGAGAGAGAGAGAGAGAGAGAGAGAGAGAGAGGGAGGGAGGGAGGGCGAGAGGCGGCAGTCGGCTGCTGCTGGCCGGATCGTTGTTGTTGCTCGGCACGGCATATGCGCGAATGCATGCGACGATCCGGTAGTCGCAACGTGCACGCGGCACACGGTACACACTTTGCTGCCAGCTGGCGAGTAATACCGGGTCGTAATACACCGGAGGAATGTACGCGGCGACCGGCCCTCTGCGCCCACCCTGCTGCCGCTGCTGCTGCTGCTGGTCATCCTCGTCGTAGTCCGGCAGCGGCAGCCGGTTTTAGCCCTTCGCGAGCGTCCGCTCACCCCGAACTACCAACCGCCCTTCCGCCCTTGCTCTTCCGTCCGTTCCGCGTCCCGCTGCACGACCGGAGTCTGGTAGCGAGCGAAGCACTCGTGGTATTTCCGCAAATTCGATGCTCCGCCGATGTCCCCGGGACGAGGTATGCGCGGGCGAGGATCTGCGGTGAAGCACTGTCCGTACACAGCTATCGCTGTTGCTGTTGCTGCTGCAGCTCCCTCGGCTAGAACCGAACGCGCGTCCGAGTGTGGAGCACGACCGGCTGGCCGATGCATTCTTAATTAACGCCTCGGGAGCCGCAGGTGCGCTAGTTTTTAGCGCGACAGTCGGCACGAGGGACGATTCGCCGCGTTTACACGCGACGCTGACGGAGCGCGAGTCGGGATCGTCATCTGGCGATTTTTCCGTCCGAGCAGGGGCAGGGGGACGACGGCGGCTTGGAGGCACTTACGCCGCACGAAAGTCGTCCGTTTCGTCTGATGATCCGGCAAGCTTGCGCGAAGGAGCTGCATCGGGCCGCTTGTCTCATGTCTTTTTCCGACCCGCCGATCGTTCTGCATGCACTTAAACATGTACGACGCGATAGTTTCGAGTACGCCCAGACGCATAAAACTCGAATGGGGGAGTTTTAAATGCGAGTTTCACTTCGCCGCGGTGGTCGAGTTTCGTATGAAATTAATTAGTGAAATTATATGCTCTACTATGTCACATACGCGTGTCCTTTATTATCCAACTTTCTCACCCGCATTTAATATGCGCGAAGCGTTCAACGTACTAAAGAGCAGAGAGAGAGAGAGAGAGAGAGAGAGGGGGGCAGAGAGAGAGAGAGAGAGAGAGAGAGAGAGAGAGAGGGGCAGAGAGAGAGAGAGAGGGGCAAGAGAGACAGAGAGAGGGAGTCGACAAAATTCTCGTCCCGCGTCGCGCGCGGTGCATTGCAGTTCTGAAGTTCTGCGTTTGTTCCGCTTTATTTTTTCATCGCGAACCACTACTCCCGGCAGTCGGGAGCCGGGAAAATATCAAGCTACACATGGCGCAGTCATGCCCGCGCGAGTGTTCCTCGCGAAACGATTCTCGTTTATATATACGGAATGGCATTCACGAGAGCGCCAAGCGCTCCTCCACTCCCTCGCGATCGCGCGAACTCGGGCTTGATATTTCCTCAGCTTAGCGCTCGGTCGAACTCGCATCGCACAAATCACATTTTATTCTTGCGAGAGAGAAAGGAGACGTGCGAGGCAGATTCTTCAGTTCGCGATACGATAATAATAGCGACGTGAAATTTGATCACTCTCACGTAACAAAGAGAAAAGAGTAATGCAAAGTGTCAAACTTTTTCATTTCAGTTACGACATGCGCGGGAAACACTCGGAAAAGGCGTCGCACTGGATGGACAAGGAGTACCTGAACGACCGGGCGTTCTTCCGAACGGCCACGGAGCCGGCAACTTTGAACATTAACCATGTGCAGGAGAAGGACGAGGGCGAGTACAGGTGCCGAGTGGACTTTACTAAGAGTCCCACCAGAAACTCCAGAATCCACCTGACAGTGATAGGTTCGTGTCACCCGACATAATTTAGCCTCGACCGCGAGAGGACGAGGAACGCAGGCGCGCACGCCTGCGTCAGCGAAATTTGCTCTCTCACGTTGAGAGGGAAAATTTTCGCAGGCGACTTGATGACACGCGAGAAAGGAAGTCGTGGTATGGATTGTATTATTTCGAGTGGCCGAGCGCCGAGTGCGCGATCGCACGAAGAAAAACGCACGAAGATGAACGTTTGATTTCTTTCTTCTTTTTATGTCTTTTTCCTTTGTCTCTTTTGCGGCGAAACGATGATTTCACGTGACAGCGACCGCAAGATCGCGTAGTTCGCGCGATTGTCGAAGAATGTTAGACGCGTCGGTAAACTCGCCGGCGAGTTATATAATTCATCGATCATTGCATTAGAATCTTGATAGGATTCTATTATGCATGGTTCGTGAAAATCCGTGCTCAACGGGGGGAAACAATGTGCGGGAGCGAATTCCGCCAGTCAGTTTCACATAGTTAGGATAATTAAACACGCAATCCTTGTTGTCGGTTGGCTGCCTCGCGTTTTTCCTATTATCCTGCTGCTCGCGACTCCAATTGGCACGTTAAAATCAAATTAATCCCGGATATTCCGGATTCGAAACCGCGAGCCGTCGAGTTATATCCGGCGCTCTTCTTTGCGCTTCTTTCGCGCCGAGGGACCGTGAAACAAGGAACAATTGTCTTATCCGACGAGAGGGCCGAGTGTTTCGCGATATCACGTCGTCGTCACTCGAAACGACGAGAAAAATCATTTCCATTCAATTTTTTACGTTTCCTCTCACCTCCCGGAGCTACATTATCGCCTCTCGCTGAAAAGAAGCGACTCGTCGTCACGGCACTCGCCGTAGACAATAGAGTGATGTTCGTCGAGCGAGATAATTATTATCGCGTCGAAATATATTGAGAAGGGAAAAGTATATTTCTCTGACTCTGATGGAGTCGGGGCCAAGAGATAGAAAGAGAGAGGGGGAGAGAGAGAGAGAGGGAGAGAGGGAGAGAGGGAGAGAGAGAGAGAGAGAAAGAGAGGAAAAATCGTATTTTCGCGGCACCTTCTTTTCGCGAATTCGCGTTTCCCTTGTCTCCCGTTTTTGCTGCCGTCGTTGTCGCAATGCCATTTACACGCTGTTACAAAGAACGTTTGATCTACCGTTGAAAGTGCCGCTTCGGCTATACACACTTGAAGACGCTTAATGCGTCTTGAAAAGAAGGGGCCACAGGATTTTACAAAAGCGCGCGATGACGACGGCGACGTCCACCTCGGACGTTTCTTTCGTGCATTAAAGGCAGGTACTTCCCCGAGGAAATGGGTCTCACTACATGATTCCTCGATTACGGGGCGTTCGCTTTACGCAGCGAGCGACCCTTCGGGGAGGTCGCTCTATCAGCACGACGATTACTGGAGGATTCCCGCTCCCCTGTTGGATAAAATCTCTCTCGCACGAGACTTAGGCGCACGGTCACGACGATGTCGTAAATCATCGCAATAGCAGGAGAATTATATAGCGGGAAGTGATTTCAATAAAGAGTATTTGGTGATCGAGCGGCATTTTGGAGCGACCCTCCCGCGCGAGATATTTCGCACGCTTCCGAGCAGATTTCCGCGGCGAGCGAGCGCAGATCGCGGATCCTATTTCCAGTTTGGCGGACGTGCCGAATCCCGACTCCGAGAAGATCCAGCGTGGAAAGAGCTTAACTCTCATCGCGGTCGCTCGATGTTTTCTCGCGACGAAACACGCGCGTACTTACACACACACACACACACACACATACATATACACACTTGCCGCTATTTTCGAAGTGCGTGTACGCTTTCGTGGACGATACGCTTCCTCTTCCGTATTTCGTGGCAGACATCATAATTTTCCGAGGGCGCATCAAGCCCGTGACCCGCCGCAGCCGTCGCCGATGCGAAACTTGGAGACGCTACAAATTAACCCGTTAAATCCCACGCTATCATTTGTCATATGAAAATGTTCGTCGGAAATGTGTCGCACTACCACTGTTCGTCCTACCCCACGCTCGCTCACGCATTCGCACGCACAAGTGCGTGAACGCGCGCGCGCGCGCGCAAACTTCGCCAACAATTGGAAACAGTCACACCGAGCGGCGCGAAATGTTGCAAACATCATTTCTCAAGCTTCGCGGCGAGATTACCAAAATACACGACATCGTGCACCGAAATATTTGATAAAACCACCGCCGTGAAGGGGAAATGTTTCCCTTCAAAGCGTGAGTTGTCGCGATTTCGCCGCGACAGTTTGTCGCGTTGCCGGGAGAGTCTCCCAGTTTCGATTCTTCTTCCTTTTCGACCACACAGTGTTAAATTTTTGACTGTTCAGATTCCTGTAAACTCCCCCCCCCCCCCGCCCGCCCCCACACGCACTACGCGCGGAGCTTGTATTTGAGGATACGATAAATTGAGCGGATTATCGTCGACACGACGCGTCGACGCATCGCTCGCTTCAGCGCGAGTACAGCGCGGTGAATGCGGCGGCTCCCGAGGACTCGATCGCCCGATTAGCTTCTCCGGCGGCTGAGGGTGCACACTAGCTGTTCGTAACTTACAGCTTACCTTAGATTACGTTGGATCATCGCTCGATATCATAATAAACGCGCTTGCGCTTGCGCGCGTATCAGTTAAAAGCGAACTCGCACGAACACACGGCTACGGTTTATTATTACGGTTTTCCGCGTAATCGATCATTGGCTCCATTTATTATCTGCTATATAATCCGCCCGTCGCGTTTCCGTGGTCCCGAGGATTCGGGTACTTTGCCAGTGAGCGTTTGATAATTCGGCCCGCGCACAGCCGTTGCATCGCGCACATCCGGATATAACACACCGGACGCAAAGCTGATATTTAATGGATATTAAACAACCTCTATATGGCAAGCAAAATTTTACTGTTTGTATACTGACAGGGGGGGATAAAAGTAGTTCGATCTCGATAAAACAAAATCTCGAGAGCTTTTGATCCTTGATTGCAAATTTTCAATTCAAATTCGTGAATACCGACCTCAAAAACGCCAAAATTGATTGATATAGCCAGACTATCCTACTACACTTTTCATTCCACCTGCTATATGAATTATCTCTCTCCATGATAAAACTTTTCCTATTCCTATATAAATTCAAATTCACAGTTGCGAGTAAGTTTTATGAGATTAATATAATAATTTTACGATTTTAATTAAATGATTTTACACGATGAAACAAATCAATTTAGAGACAATCGTGAGTTATATTTATATCAATGTTAAATTAGATTTTAAAGATACGTGTGTATCGAATGTTTATTATATTATGGATATGACATTATGACTTGTCGGAATAAGGTTTCCAGAAATCGCTTACCTTTTCTTATTAGATACTTTTTATCACGCGCGACAAATTCCTGCGACTTCAGTCGAACTTGAAGTCGGACAATTGCAACATGTAGCACTGTAGCCATTGACTTACCTTGTAGCATTTGATGTAGCATTTGATGTAGCAGTTGATGTAGCAAATGATTTTTCTCTGCCGTAGAATCATGATGTAGAATCATAAAGCAAGACTCAGCTCGAGATTATTTAATATTCGAATATTTCAATATTTTTTTAATTTAAAGTTAAACTTTGTTCTAATTGCAATTATAAAAATATTAATTATATGATTTATTTAGTAGTAAAGATTGTGTGTGGATTGAGAGAGTATTAAGAATGTAGAAGAATCTCAAGATATTTTTGCTTCACTACTCCTTTTTCTCTTTACTCTGCATTAAATCCGCGTCGATAACATTTATAGTCTACAAAAATTGATAAAATCCTTCCAGCGAAGCATTTAAAAATTATTTTTCCTGTTTCTCATACCGATACGCGTTTTCGTTACACGTGAAAAATTCGAGAATTATTGCGCGCTCGGGTGCATCGCGCGAATGCGCGAAAACCATTCGCCCATTTCCGTTCGCTATGGTAACGTTCGGCCGGAGGAAAAAGAACGCACTTCGTTTGCGCAGTAGACTGAAGGAATTCTTGGCCACATTGAACGGTCTAAATAAATTTTTTTATTTCAAAAAGCCCCCTCCCCGCCGCCCCTCTTCGCTCAGTCATAGGAGTGCTTTTACTCTCCTCGACCCCTCGCAGTATTGTTCGCCTTTTCTGCGCCTGATGCTATTCGCGCCGACAGAGCGACTCTTTTTTTTTATTCTACCACTTAGGTCTAGTCCGTTCTTACTGTCGATTCCTATTCTCTTTGCATAACCCTTTTAAGTCCCACCTGTCTGTCCACCCTCATCCTTTCGTCTGTCCGTTGCGTCAAGTAGAACAAAGCTAGACACGCTGCAAATCTCTTAGTCAATGAGACTAAGGTATTCCAACTAAGGTTGAAGAGGAGAAGTGAAAGAGGTTGAGAAATTATGGCGGCATCGCGAGGCCACGTGGCATACGCCGTGACCATGTCCGCGTCCTCTCCTTCCCATCCAATGGCCCCAACGAGACGAGACTTCCGGAGTCTTGAAATTTTGATAACGGGCTTGCAAAAAGAAACACCACTGTCAACGGCGCTCGATTGTTTGCCGAAAAACCCCGAGTTACATCGGAATAGGTAATTTGAAACGAGCACGTGACGACGTCGACGTTATATACTAATAAACTAATAAACTAATTGGCAAGCATCTATACAGACGCGATGGGAAATGAGCGATGTGTGGCTTGTATTCGGACGATAGAATGATTCTTGTCGGTGATATCGCTGATCCTCCATACTAGTTTACCTACGAGGGATGTTGAAACGACGCGAGGCACCTCTTCGTTAACTAACTTGCCGCTAACGCTTCATCGCGAGGAAAATATCAAAGAAACTTCGCGTTCGTGCGCATTCGATGCACGACAGCTAGTCGCCAGTTGTCAGTCACGATCGCAGTGCGATCAAAAGTTGTACCGCTCGAGCGAAAACTTTTGGAAAACGCACATTGCTTGTGCGGAACTCGAAAGAGTGCCAGAATG